GCATGTCTCTGAGCGTATTTCAAGGCAGGAAGGACTGCAGAATCGAAGAGGTGGGCACGGAGCCGGATGTTCTTCGTCTTCTTCACTAATCTGAGAAATGGGATGAGAACGGAATCTTGAGACGATGCTCGGCACTTTTCCTTTTTGCCCTCTTCAAATCGCCTGTTCTCTGCCTCAACTAGAAGTTTCGACCTTGCGAAATTGGCGTGATCTTCAGCAATGCATTGCCTACATAATCTATTTAGCAGGGTGTACTCCACGTGGTTTGTTTGCCGATCCATATTTCTTCGCTTTTCGAGTAGAGCTTTAGTTGACGCCGAGATGCGACGCGAACTGTGGTTGGGGGTAATTTTGCGGCAGCTGTCTGCGATAGCCGTTACTGTTTGAACGAGGTTCTGATATTTGGCGTTGATGTCATCCACTACTTCATACAGCTCTTCGCTTGCAAGCCTCCCGACCGCATCTTCGTCCATCACAGTGGGCAGGGCCGCCTAGAGCGTATGCGCATCAGGCGCATTGAGCCACGGTCGAGGTGGAATCGCCCTCGCAGTAACCGATGGTCGCTCCCCGTGTTGAAGGAAGGGACAACGGCAACATCCGTCATTATTCTTCGATTGCACATAATGTGGTCAATTTCGTGACAGTGCTGTCCATTCGGAGACATATGAGTCCACCTTTTCTGGAGCGCCTTGAAAAATTGACTATTGCCGTGGTAGAGGTGGTGTGACTCGCAAAAGCTCGCCAATCCTTCTCCCATGCTGCTCTTCATCGCTGTCTGCTGTAGGCGCGTAAGCCTGTATGATGGTAACTTGCGAATCTTTCGAAAGGCACGCGGTCAATGTGGCTACTCGATGCTCAGAAACGTGACGCTCCGTACAAGCTTGGAGAACTTCGGTGACACAATCAAACCAACACCTCCCGATGATGAATCCGTTTTCCGGGCTCCTAAGAACACCGAAGTTCCATCCGTTCAGGTACACGATAGAGGCTCCTCCCGCTTCGTTTCGCACAAGCCAATTACATGGTAGTTGATCCGTTGAGCTTCATCAATAAGTGCCGAAAGCTGAGCGGCCGAGCTGACACTTCGACACTCGTAGGTGCAGGAGATCAGCTGGCTCGCTCTTGTTCGTCTCCTTTGGTAGCCTACGACCGTGAGATTTCTTCGCCTTTGGCTGTTTGCTGATCCAGCACTACTTGACTGGGCAGAGGCAGCCTGCAGGGGACTAAGGCGGGAATAAGAAGTGGTCGTAGTATCTTTCGTCCCACGGGATAGCCTTACCAGGACGTTCCCGTTGCTCAAGGACAGCGCGTCCCACCAAGGGCTTGGGCACTTTGGGTTCTTTAGTCACGGGAATCGGTATAGGGTTTCGGCGCAGCCCTATCCTGAAGGATATTCCGATCCCGCCTCAAGCTCGTACACCACTACAAGGTAGAACCCATGTAAAGAATTCCATTCTTTTCGAATTTAGTAGTCCGCCCGGTCTATCCGCGCTGGGTCGCGCCAATACGAACGCAACGCTCCCATGCTCAATTCGATTCCCCGGCAGAAAAGTCCCACTTGGGTACCCCCCAGGAGGCCCGTCGCGCGACAAGAAGACAAGTCAGCGGACAAGTTCCGCGCGTACTGTAGGGATTTCACGTCAAGTAAAATGGAATGTTCCATTGTACATACGTCTCACATCGCTCACACCTGCGACTCGTCCGCGACTCTACCATCTTGCCGCGCGACGGGCCTCTTGGGTGGTATCCGTCCCACTTATATCCGAATTCGGTTTTATGGCGTTTTGTATTTAATCCTTATATCGCTATAATCGAGTAGGATACCTGTTTATATATCCGTATACACACGTAGATACAAAAATGGTGTTGGGTGGGGGGGGTCGGATCGACACCCTGGAAAATGAGGGGAGGGGCTTAAATTTTCTAAAATTTTTCCAACGTGACGGTTGATCCTGTGTCTGAGCCTAGCGAACCGCAGAGAACGGACAGCATTGGTCTGGACCTACAAGATGTGACACACTATACATGATCGGTGTTCCGAGTCTGAGCTCTGCAATGTCACATCACATCTACCTGTTGTGCAGAGAAAGACTTGGTTCTTCTAAAAAATACAACCTGAAATAGCAGTGGTGTGTGGTAAGCCACTGAGGCTAGTAATATCATCTTACCAGGTGTAGCACGGACCTCAAAACGCAACATTGACTCGGAATCAAGGAATGAACTACTTTAAGATGAACTAGCGCGACGAAGGGATTTGAGAACTGTTCAATTTAGGTTGCATTTAGCCACTAATACTTCCACACCCTCACCTATCTTCCCGAAATTCAGAAACTACTACTGGGTAGCCCAAAATTTTACAGTACCTGAAGTCTCTCACGTTATGATCACGTATTCTAGGTGCTGGTCTTATTCTAGATGCTCAAATAATGGAGGAGTAGGATCCTATGAAAGTGCAGTATGAAATCCAGCCCAAATTTCGTCTTAACTCAGCCAATAAGGAAAAGCAAGCATAAGTAGTGGGCTATTTGAACGTTAGGGGTTGACGAAATAAAGGATTGGGTATTGGTGATAAGCTAGAAGGGAAATACAGTGAGAACTCCTCCATATCTCAGTGCTCGACATGGCTTGGTTTGTCAAGGAGGATCAGAACCCATCGAATGGTCGTTTTTAAAAGCAGTGTTTACGATGAAAAGGCAGCCCAGTGGAAGCAAGGGTGAGGTGCTGAGTGGTGCAGGGATGAAGAAAAAACTTCGAGAAACGTCTCAGACCCAAGGGCGTGTTTAAGGGGTGCTGTTCCCTTAAACGCTGAAGTTCTCCCTACTAGAGCAACTAGAGTCAAACGGCGAGTGTTAGCCAATCGGTAAGAGTGCTGTGGCGTGGGTAGGGACCTGCTGGACCGTTGGAGCAACCATCGCCGCAGAACACGCATCGTCCCGCACCCTTACTGAACCCGCCTGCTTTCACTCGGGTATATTCTCTTTCCTCGACCCCTCATGAAGGAATCCTGCCTTACCAGATGCATATCTGGAATATCTTTTTTGCTACCCAAATGGGATCTACTGCAATTCCTCTCAAGATAGCAGCTTTATCTCAAAGCTCTCATTTCACCTCAACACTCGTAATCCCACAGATGCTGAATCACCAGAACTGCTGATCGTGAGTTTTGTTTGTTTTGCATGCTGTCTGCTACGAGACAACCATGACGTACTAATTGATAAATGAGCAGCGAAACAACCAGGTAGAGGGATGAAGGAAATCGCCCGTGAAGCTTCTCTACGATGGTTTATAGGTTCACAAGAAAATTAGAAAGAGCAAGATGATGCTAAAATATTTCACGTTATTTAGGCCGCTAACTTATCAAAGAAAAAGAAAATTCACTTGAATCGTTGGCGGTTTGCCAAGAAAAGTTGGGTGTTTGTCTACATGAGTTCTGAATCTTTGTCGGAATCTTGAGCAGTGTAGGACCAAAAACTCAAAGCCCAAAATCTTGCGCTGTCTCTCGGAAATAAGGCAGCCTATTTCGTTTCCAATTTTTGCTTTGACAATGGATAGGGCCACCTCTCCCCAAACAACTTAGAAAAGAGTAGATTTGACCGTTTTCAATGATCTGGGGAAAGTTAAATAAAATCTGGGTCCTCCTAGAAGTCTAATAGCAGTATGATCTCGCTACAAGGTGTTGGGTTGAACCATAATATTGCAGCGTTTTTTTTTTCCTGAGGTTCAACCAATGCAAGTATCACATGGAAAATAGCGCATTTCACTTGAAAGTACCTTTAAAAAACCGTATTTCTAGTTTTCCTCAAAATTATATATACTCAGATATGCTACTTGGAAGTTAGAAGATCCAGACGGAAAGATCGGATTTCCGATAGCTGCTATTTGCGGTTATCATAAAGAAAAGAAAATGCCATAACGGAATTTTTTCGGAGCCCATTGTCCTTACCACGACTTGTTCTAACAGATCATACCTTTTTTCTCAAACCTATTTATTTTTACGAATTGAGAATAATAAGGACTTCAGAAACGAGCTCATCGTATTTTTTAATTCTAAATCAGGTGATTTTGTGTGAAGTGAAATCAAAGTCAAAAATAATGACAGAGTGAACTCACTCATTAATTTTATATTTTTTTCTTCAAACGCTTGTGTGCAAAAACAAAAAGTGCGACCGCAGCGCTATTATGTTCCAACCCAATGGATGAGCAGGTATACCAGATACACGTCACTTCATGCGACTAAACCTAGCGCTGCTACAATCTACCATCTGGGATCAAACCTTGGATTGATTCTGGGCCAGGCCAACAGAGCGTCCCATACTCCAATTCGATATTTTGAGTTTTCTGGTCACGTCGCATCGTGCCATGCATAATCTGCGAGAATTGTGAGGGAATGCTCCCTCCCTCCTTTCCCGGTTTATAGGCAAACCTGAGATTGTGCGATATTTGACATGCTCAGACCTTTCCCCACTACAAATTTAGTATGGAACTCTGACATCTTTCGCAAATTCACGAGTTTCCCAGTCATGTTCCCTTCGGTAAAATGTCCCCCAATAGATCCGAAAATTCCTGCCAGCTGCTCGACGAAGCGGCGTGTCTTCCGTTTCAGAATTATTCATTTCCATACAAATATCGCTCGTTTCGAATCGATTTGACTATTATGAATTTCAAATGAAGACCGACGCCTTAGCGGTGTCTTCGTCGCCGCCATTGCCGTCAATCAAGCGAACGCAATTCGCCTAGCACCGTTATCCAACGATTTTCATCAAATAATTTCGAATGGTTGCTTATGAATCACCTCCGCAACAAAATGAACAATATCTCGGATTTATGGATGCAACGATAAGTTACAGTGGCCTGGAATTTGACAGCTTTCCTCCAACGGTGGCATGCAGTAGCGATTGTATTAAGAGGGACCTTGATGACACAAGCCTTTACTGACTGGTGTTTTTACCAGTTTTTTTGCATTGACGGCTTTTTCAGAACAACGCACGGATAGCTTGATCGTTTGCTTCACTAATGGATCGCATTCGCAATGCTGCTGACCTGACTCCACATAATCATGAAACATCTAAGGTAGCTTCACCACCCGCTCATCCAGGAAAGGTCGTGTTTAATCAGTACGCTACCGAGGCGCCACTCGTTTTCCCCTCAGCTTTTCGGTTCTGTTTGTAACATAGGTTATCATCGCCCGCGTGCTAGGCGTGATCAGCCGGTCAGCCGGCATCATTCTTATGATTCTCAGCTGCAAGTTCCAGCAGAAATTGAAGTTTGAGAACATAAGTGGTCTCGATAGAGCCACGGATAAGTACGGCGACTGGGTAACACAAGTGGGAATCGAATCTTGTCGGAGGAGGACTTTCCCAATTGATTAACGAATTTTGTACCCTGTCCTCTTTCGACGCAGTTTGCAATGGAAATCGAGGAAGCTTGATTAGGTGCTCAAGAAGTATAATGGATGAGCAAACAGTCTAGCAAGTGCAGGTTCGAGATCGTATTTCATCGAAAGAGGACTGTTACAGATAAAATTAAATTGCCTCTTCACAAGAGCGTACTAGCTTGACAAACCTGCTCATTGGTAGCCCATATGTTGGAGTATGAAGAAATGTTGGATCGGGGAAAATAATTCAGGCAGAAAAAGTCTTGCATAGAATTGATCGACAAACCCGAAGAGCCTCCGACATCCATTTTCTTCAGATTCCGAGCTTCCATTATGGTCAAAGTGACGGTGCCGGTTGCCGGTCGATACCTCGTCGAAAAGCAAATGTCCCCAAGTCGGGACTCTCTCTGAAATACGAATAACTACTCTTTTGTGCCCAGAATGCAAACGAAAAATGTCTATGCAGCTCGTTCCAAAAATTGTGCTCTTGAAGTGCCCTTTGGGTAGCATTTTTCAATGTTTAAATAATTGGACTGCCAGGCAACGATTTGTCGCAGTTCTGCATTATTAGGTGTATTATCGAGGTACGTAGCTGCTCACATTCCTGGAAGAATGAGCCTTCGGATAAGCCATGAGCACTTATAGAATGCGCCATGCGTCTGTCGGCAATTCGCAATCATCAAGCCCATTGGATGCTCATGAATATGGACTGAACCTCCAGCTGATGTTCTACCCCCTCCCCCCCCCCCCCACTACTCAGCGATTGTATTGCTTGACGTTTTTCTGCTAATTGGCCAATTTTTCGAACTGGAAAGCAAATCCCACTTTCGCTTGTTGCTTCACTCACCATAAAAGTAATCAACATACGAACCCATTTTCAGCCTAAGCGCTTTGCGGCAATTAACATTTGGTCGGTAGTAGACGGCTTTACGACAGCACTAATGACAGGAGAGCCTGAAATCGAGTTCAAAAGGGCGGAAGACGCCCGTGCCTCTTTGAGATGTCACGGTGTTTCTGTTGGTTTCTTGAACAGGGATGTTTGGCTTGCCTTGTTAGAGATTCTATTCGACGGCTGCGCTTATATCCGACTGCAAAGGTTCACCCGCTCCATTTCGCCGGATTCTGCAATTGGGGGTTGTCGGTTATGCGTTGGGGACCATGATCGTGAGCCATTTGCTGCTTTCTTGTGCCCAGGTTCAATAGGCGCTTCTGATGGCCCGCGATCCGGATCAAGCTTTTTCTTTAAAAGGCCGGTGCAAAGCGGGATGTGGGCGATTTACTTATATTCTGTAGTGTTATTTACGCGCGTGTGCATGTCTTTGTCCCTGTGGGCTGTTAACTGAGCGCCGTGAGGTTGTTTTGCTAGATAAGGTAAGTTTCGCCACTTGTCATCGGTTCGCAATGCTGGACACGCCTTCTATTCCATTCTCATTCTAGTTTTTCCGTCAATGCGATGTGGCCACCCCCAATGCTTGTGGGGCCGGGCGATTACAGTAAGTGTGTTTATCGCTGCCAGAAAGTTGGTACCATCAACTACCCGGGGTGGAGGCTTGGTGGCACGGTTGACGTACGATCAGGATTTGCCCCGGGACGCTCGCCTGATGGCGTTGTCACTTTGCCACTACCCATTCCGCCCGTGGGGCCGATGGGGCTTGTTACCCCCCCCCTTTCATATACCCTCAGATACGTGGGGGGCGATGGCGAAGGAGTATTACCTTCATATAAAACCCTCAGTAGTAAGTACCTGTGTTTTTAAGCACGCGAGGGTTTTGTGTGAAGAGCGTGACGGTTGGTAGACGACTGACCGAGTTGTATTTCGAGCGATTACGTTTTGATGTTAATCGCCCCAAGGACTTCGGTGTAAAGCGATTACAGCGCGGTGCTGAATTCTCAATGGGCTCAAAGTTTCTTTTGCTATGTATTAATGGGGCGTTTCCTAAATATCTTGTTTGACGTTTTGAGGTTAATGGGCCACCTGCACTTTCTTTCTCAATTTCTACTTTTTCATAGGTAGATCTAGTAGGAAGCTACTGAAGCCATTGAAAAAAGTTAGAACTAGACAAAAAATTGAATGCGCATGTAGGAAATAATCGAAATTTCTCCCTGCAGAATTTTTGCTCGACGTTAGAAGCGTAGCGATTTATTCATTTCACAATATTGTACGAGTTCCACAAATTTCACTTTTACGAAGGGCATTATATTGAAGCTAGGAAACGCTTGGTAGCGTCGTTGGTCGAAATATAATAGTAATGATGAAGACATTAATATAATTTTTGACCGGAAATGATACGTTGGGAAAGAAAATATCTTTCCAGTAATGTTTTTGTTAGCATATTGGAAATATTTTCTCTCTTACACAGAATAATTGAAAATGGTGCCCCAGTTCCAACAAAAATATACAAATATAAAATGATCAAGTCTGGCGCTGATTACCCCTTTCTCAGGTTACGCTGCGCATTTTACTACCATCCAGAATCGTAGCGGCGTTACTATTGAAACAAGGTCTCGGTCCGTGCAAGGACTTATGGTTTCAGCTAATGACAAGTCAGTATAACATCCTCCCAAAAGCAACAACGAAAGTTTACTACAAGTTAACTGGCCCCACTCCAGAGGGACCGCAGGCTCGGTAGTTCTAGATGGCAGGTCGTGATCCTCGGACGATGGCGTGGTAAGGGGTGCAACTTCCCTCTACACCACTTCCGCCCGCCTTAACATGGATACAATAAGAACGAAAATTAATTTTAAGCACAAAATTCTTCATGAATTATAAATTTCATTTTGCAAAAGGGTCATTTTCCGTCTTCCGTGTTGCCCGCTATTTGGCTGTCTTAGTAAGGCAAATACAAAATCTGAACCAATGTCAATCCTGGACGTTATATGGAAAAAGACAACTTCAATAAAGAAAAATCATTTGTCGGAATTAATGCCTTGAATTTGCTGGAAAAAAATCGATACAGCTATCATAAGATGAGGCACTCTTGCGTAGACTGGTCAATTGTTTTCTTTCACTAATCTGCTACATTTTTTCACAGACTTATCCCGGAAGAAAAAAAGCTTCGTAAGTGGAATAATGAAAAAAAAATTCTCGTAATGAAATTACAAATATAACAAATAAATGCCGTAAGAAGTGTGAACCTACCAACTTGCCCAATTTTCGACTAACACAATTCCTGGTCACTGCAAACGATGAAACATTCGAGGCCAATCATTTTTTTTTGGATGATCATGTTCCTTCTTTGGAAATGTAGCGATCAGAATGCTACTTTACAAAAACACTGACATGTGGTGACACAATCCCGGCAAATAGGAATTCTCATCTATAAAAAAAAATCTGGCTCTAGTAGGGCGCCCCAGGGCGGAAGTGGTATTGTGGTTAGTGGCATGCTTACCACGTGTGCGGTCCAAGGCTCGAATCCTGGGTCGCGCGTCGTCCGAGCCAACCAAGCCTTTCATTCCTCCGGGGTCAATTAATTGGCACCAGACTTGCCTGGGATGATAAAAACAATGAATTGTACATCGGCTGGTCTCCGCAAGTATTGTATAGGCTACATCGTCTTCAAGTGCCACTACGAATGTACAAATGGAAGTAGAATGCGCCGCATCCCAAAGAGGGATTGATCGACGGTCAATGCCTCATCTTTACACTTTAATAGAGCAACTCGTTGGGAAAGGATGAAAGTCGGACTCAGCGAGAATTGAGCAGGGATTTCGAGGGAGAATGCGCGCATTAGAAGACCCTTTTTGGAATTCAACCGTCTACAGCAGGTTGATCAACGCAACGTTCGGCTCAATTTTGAGAGAAATCCGGACAATTCCAATCAAACATTCAAAATGCACTCGGTTTCTCCTGGAGAATCATCGATTGTTGGATAAATAAAACTTCAATCCGATCAAACTTTTTACCCTCAGCTGTTTTTTGTGCCATGCGTAACATTGTTCATTTTGAGACATACAAAAAAATAATTGGAAAATCGGATGTAGATGGAATCGCTCAATTTCCGCCGAAAGCGTTTGTAATCCTTTTTTTGCTCCCTCCACCGCACGAACGTGATTAGTTCTATTTTCCTTTAGAAAAAAGACAGATTGAATACCCTGTTCAAAGCTTAAAACATATATGTAGGAAGGGCTTCTGGAGCCTTACATCTCAGCTACCGGGTAAATCACCAGTGCATTGATGACTGCGTACCTCTCGTCCCTTTGTTCTTATCCGAGTTGACTGCTCCGCCATAGCACCCAATTCTCTTATAATTTCTGCGCCCTAAACTGCTCGTTTACCAGAAAAGGACGTTCTTAATTTTATGTTTTCCAGTGGTTCTCCATCTCTTCCTTGACTGACGCTACATTTTGCGTTCGTTATCTTGTTCTGGCGCTATGACGGCTCCACCTTGCCTGCCTTGTCTAGGAAACGAAAAGAACTGGTTAACATCTGAGTAGTGGAGCGAGGGTTCGCCTCACTATGCCTGGAACCATTAAATAGAAAACTTCTCAATTTATGATTTTATTTTTTTTTGTAAACATGGGGGCTTTGAGCCGATATGTAGTAGCAAATAAAAAGCCGCCATTAGCACTTACGTCGTCGTCGTTCTCCGGTTTACATAGATATCGACAAATCTCCGTGGTGGTACCGAAGTCGATCGTTTCCAGTGGGATCGATAATTCGCCCATCTTGTCATCTTTCGACAATCGATCGTAGTCGTAGACGGTCAGCATGAGTGTTTTCGATTGCAGCTCGTTGAATGGCAACTAAAACATTTCTTCTTGGATGGAAGCGGTTCCGAGTCCCTCAATGAATTAATTTCCTTCGGCACCCTTGAAGACATATTGCAACACAATTTGGAAAGAGCAATCTCCATCAGCGAAAACTGCTCCGCAGCTGAAATGATTGTACCTTTGCGCCTCGAAGATGAGAAACAAGCAGGCTATTTTTTAGCCTGTCCCCGCTCACGCTCATCAGGTTGCTCCGTGCGGTGCTTCTGCATCTACAACTTCTTTTTGCCAATTTACCTCTCTCGTCCTCGTCTTTGATAGCAGTGCCACCTTTATTCATTTTACGCGCTTAGAATGCCCAAACCACCCTAAAGGTGGGCAAGTGCTGTTTTCGGAACTTGCTTTATCTTCTTTCTCCAGTAGTGGAGTACTTAGCGCCTAAATGTCCATAAATAGATCCCGAAACCACATCCTATACCGAGGGATGCGACACTGAAGACAAATCGTATGCATCCTGGGAGTATTGAGTGAAATGTTTACCCATGCGCTTGGTTTCATTTTACAGAAAGTACCCAAATGGAGGTCTTTTGAGAGAATTTCTGAGAAAATCGGGCATCCTACGTGTTTATGCGTATGCATTTACGATGCGATCGCCGCTCTGGCCCACACACACAACGACCGCAAGCCATTAATATGCGATCGTCGTCGCTTTCCCCTAGTATATGTGTTTTCACATGTTTGCAGTAAACAGCTGCCCCAAATGTGCAAGTTCGAGGTGTTCCAAGAACAATTTCAAAAATCGAAGCGCGCAATTTTTATTTGCTTTGGAGGGTACGAGTGAAAGAGGAGGGGTTTCACTTCTGTTCTGACCACTGTTGTGCAATGTCAAATGACGACAATATACCTCAAAAGTACCTACTTCCCATCGCATGTAGGTGAGAAAGGAGGTTTGCAGCACTGCCCTGCATTACGAGCTGTGCGACGGTTCCCGAAGTCATTTTCGGCTTTCTCACTAGGCTTTTCTAGCTGTTAATGGATATAATACAACGAGGCACGGCAAATCTCGGCGACACTTGTTTTGGCCGTCTGCCTGAGTGTGTGAGTGCGTGTTTCAAGCCTATCAATCGCTTTTCAGAGCCTTCTATGTACGTAGTGATGGCTCAGTTGATTGGGTTTCAATACACGAACAGACCTCAAAAAAATTTCGGCGATTCTCAGCGTCCAATTCAAAGAATGTCTGGGTAATTACAAATATCCTCTGAATTGGATGCGAAAAGATACGATGCAGTAATTGAAACATTCTGACAAAATTCGAACCCCCATTTGCTCTTTCGATCCACCGTCTTACAGGTGGCACTGCCCAGACCCGTTCTGTTCTAGGGCTGCAATCTCTGCTAGAAGCTCATGGATTAACATCTTGCCATCGATGTCGGCTGAACAGCTCATCACATCATGTAAGTGAGTATTGATGTCCGTGATAAAAATAGAATTGAGAAGCTAGAATGGAGCGCGTTGGACTTCGGCAGCGTCATGGATAAACACATTCCTCAGAGAGATAAGCACGGGTTCAAGTCACATCATTGTTTCATCATAGGGTAGCGTCAGCACAGTATTATTTACGCACATACGCCTCCTGTGCACGACTAGAGAACTGGCATCCTTAATTCATCGGATTGCTCTTGAATTACGGATTCTTCAAATTAACTTACTGGTAAGTTTTGCGAAGTATCTATGGCTCCTAGCAACAACTAACCATCTATAGAAATTTGGCGAGGTACGCTAGATTTGACCTGGGATTTTGCACACGGACCACATCCGCGAGAGCGATCCCTCTAACCACTCCTCACAAATAAATAATGTGAAATTAGACATGTCAACTCAATTATTATTTACAAATACACATCTGAGTAGCAGAAGTGGAAATAAATTCACCTTTTCAAGAGCTGCGCACACCGAGATGAGGTTTTGAAATGCTTTATTTATTAGCTTATCTATAGTAACTCGCCTTAACTTGTGACAATTTGCTGCAGAGATTCCCAGATATAAGAATTATTGTTTATACTTGTCCAGAATGCGCGATCCTGAGGACGATCTTGTCTCAATAAGTCCCACAACGTGGTAGTGCCTGACTACGGAAGTGGTGTACATGTGATCTACTACTTGCTTAGGAGTTAATCCTTTTCAAAAACGAGGTTGCTGCATAGGCAATCCAGAACGTAGGGCCACTTTCGTGGCTCAACACTCTTGAAAAAGGGTACCAGGTGCTTTAGATTTGAATCTACGCCCGCTCTCTGGGTCAAAGACGCTTACAGCTGGGCTTCCTGTGCCTCCTCTCCCCGCTTTTAGTGTCTCGTTCTCTCACATAGCGACTCTTAGACTTTACTCCTCAATGAAAGAGGCGTGATTTTTAGTGTTCTGAAAATTTTCCCTTTTTCTCTCAGGGAGTCAGTACGCGTCCACTTGTTCATGCCTTGACCCAATTATCCCGCTTTGCTGTCAATGAATATGCCTATGAATGAAGCAGTATAAAACACTCAGCAAACTCTTTCGAAAAAATTCTTCGAAAAACTCACAGAAAAAAGAAAGGTCTCGTTGTAGACAGGATTCAGTGAGTTTCGTATGATTTTCGTCTCGTACTTCTGCTTTCGTTCCGGTAGAATACACAGTTTCACGTAGGGATCGGACATGCCATTCCGGTCCATTGCGGGAAGTCGGTGAGCGTCGAGTATTGTCACGGACAACTGAAAGTAAACCTCGTCAGTCTAGAAGACATGCAATCAAATCCCTAAAACGAATTTCATCTCCACTCGAAGAGGACGAGCGCCTTCTTGCTCAGCTAGTGGTCGGAAATTGTTTGATTGAAAAACGTGGCCAACCCACAATGACTGGGCCTTTACCGTTGAATTTACCCTGCACACAAATTCGCTAAGGTGACCAGTGATAGTCGTTGCTTCTGAAAGATCTCAGGATTTTCGAGCTCCTTCCTCTCTCGGTTGAATCGGTCAGGTAAAGAGTTGACCCTTACCATGATCGCGGTTCAAGGGCGGTTTCTGAATTCAAATTGCTGCGCTTGCTATTGGATAAAGGTAGAGATACGAAGTGGCTCGCCAGTGACGACTAAACCGAAGGAACCCCGCACTCAAAAGAGCCTTGCCTTCTGCGCGACGAACTTACGTGATAGCCAGACGCTGAACCATTGAAAACAGCGCACTAGCGCCAGAAACAGATTATCCCAATGACGAGAGTGCATAAAATGCAAGCAAGGGCGCAGAGAAGACTGCATCAACAACGGAAGCAGGATTGGCGGGTCCAGGTGCCTTTCACACAGTAACAAAGCTTCTAGCATTTTGCTGTGGATTTTCTTGCCGGAAGTGGCATAGTTGTCCTCTTCCTGTGCGGCTCTATTTTACCCACCGAGAAGATTGATCCACCTGAAATCTTTTTGGAGCGCGACTTCAAATTTGATAGCTGCATCCAGTAAACTGTAGGGGAATAGTAAACTACGTTACGAGGTCATAGATTTCTATGAAACTTGTTTATCGATTGATCTCACGCACGTAAATACATAGGTGAATCCCAGCAGATCTCAGTATATATGCGGGGGCTTAGACCTCAAAGTGAAAATTTAAGAAAGCTCTATCTTCAAGTAAAAGCAAGCAGAGAAGGGAGCATTCTGATGATCGGCTAAAATTTTCAGTGGACTATCTGATCTGTTCCTAGTATCCCTAATGGAGAGCAATTCTGAATGATGAAGATGAAGTGAGCCTAAAAGAGATGATTCATCCAAAATTTTCACAGAGGGTTTGAAAAATTTCAAAAAAGCTGGCGCTGTGAGGGGTGGCTTCTGTGAGGAAGAGGTCGTATTTGGGAATCTGAGAGAGAACGTGGTCGGATGAGAGTGGGATTGTTTATAACGAGTTTTTCAGCAAAGGCCAGATTTCCAAATCACTGCAGCTATGGGCCTGTCCACATCTCACTCAAAGAAGCGCAGATTTTTCAATATTGTTCAAAATGTGTATTATGAGGACCCAGAGATATTTTTGGGGCTTAGGTACATGGTTTTACCAGCGAATTTCTATTTCTACAAATCTTCGAGTAGCGTGGTTATATGATCCCGACTGAGGTAGATTTTGACAATGGCTAGCAACTCGAATCCATCGCTAGTTTTACCACTGAAAAACGTCCCGCAAAAAACTCATGTGTGTCATTTGCAAATTATGCTTCTCAATAACAATTATTATAGACGTTACGGTGTGTCTTATTTCTCACTGACCGGCGCTTTTGTGCAGAAACGGGATACCCGCACAAACGATGGAACCCTGGGTGAGTTCAAAGTTCGTTTTGCTTATGTTTCTCGGTGTGACTCCCGATGGAATGTCGGAACGGCTAAAGGAGATAAGACGCTTGGTGGGTCAGATCGTAAATTTCAACTTGAACCGCGTTTAGGCCTCAGAAGACGACGATTTTGTCGAAACGTAAGACCGATTGAATAAACGTTCCACCTATCATCCTCGAACGGCAGAAGAACAATTATTAACACAAACAAGAACAACTGTTATACTTATGGACAAGACTAGCTAAAATAATTTAAAGCTGCAAAACAAAGTAGTGATGTAACTGCAAAGATAGGAAAACGACTCTTGTAATCAAGAAAAAATTTCAAAAAACGTTCCAGTATTTTGATCAATGTTCTCATTCAGATTGAAATGGTTTAACATGCGCCATTCATCAGCTCATTGACAGTTATCAACGATTCCACTGACGCGTAGTAACATACAGGTTTTTGGAAATATTTACATATGACAATAATAGTATGCTATACTCAATATATAATCCCAGTCCAAGTCCTCTGCATATATAATCCCAGCCCATCTAATCATCTGGTCAAACATATTCCCCTGCTGCTTTCACGGTGGAAAGAATATAGAAAGGCAGAATTCTATGCCATGGGCCATTGTGTTGAGATTTATGGCATATCAGTGTTTCTGCAGTACATCCGTCATTTTTAAAGTGGCTGTAAACCTCCGACATTAACGTCATTTTACGACGGCCTTTGATCTTCCAAGGTCCCAGCTAAGCAATTTGAATTTGGCTCCATCCGAGTGTACAAGTTACATAGATGTAGAGGCTATGCAGAAGAATCTCCATTTTACCTGTCCAAAAAGATAGCTTTTGTAGTAAGCTGAGCCTGTAGAGAACTCGTACGAAGGCACTGTATGAAGGGACCGATAAGAAGTGTTCTCGGAGAAGAGCCTTGTCTCCAAGAGGTCCATTTTGCGAGTTTACTTTCATTTTTGAGCTCAGCAAGCAGTTCACATTGATCGTGGGGTGCCTTCAAACGCTCCTACTGCTATCGATAGAAGAACAAATTTTAATATGATAATTTGTGGATGAAAGATCGTTTTTGGAATTCGCTATTGAAGGCAATGGCAACGCTTAACTATATCTTTCAGAATCAAAAGGTTTATGTGAGGATCTGAAAAAGAATTTGTAGGAATTCACTTAATTACCATATTCAAAGAGATTTTGCTTAATGGACTCATTAGAAACCAGAAGGTTTGCGTCTGAGGGACTACGGTAGTGTGCTCTACTGATGTGATGCACTGAAGACGAGCCCTGACAAGCTTTTCCGGTCTGTTCTGTGACGTCAGCTGACTGGCTCAAAGAGCATTCGGACTAAGAGATCTACAAGTGTAGATGATTTACGTGCGGAACGCTTATGTGATGAGGGCGACCCATAAACGGTGAGGACATACTGTTCGTTTGCGCCAAAGGCTGCATTACGAAGAACACGCCTATGTGTTGTCTTCACGCATAATTAATGCAAATTAACACGAAATTGATTTAGACCCTTGTCTGCTTGACACACCAGTTTTTATCCCCACTTGAGCGCATGCTTATCACCACATCCACGGGTTCGATTTTGACTTTGTTTGCTCATGAGTATCCTCGTAGAAATTTGGGCCGAATCGGCAATTAGCTAATAGCATTCCGAAAACCCCTGCGTTACACGACTGCCGATTGCCGCACTAAGTGGATAGCTCACGCCCAGACGAATAGAGGCAGGCAGCGCTTCAGAAAAAGCTGAATTTGTTTCCTGGTTGATCTTAAATAAGTAGAAAACCAACTAATGCCTAAAAAACGAATTTTTCTACAAAAAAAAACAGAAACTCTGTGAGCGAAGACTCTCCGCAAATAATTGAGCTGACGAAATCCTTTTTACAGAAAATGTTCTCTATGAGAAATAATTGACTGAATGTCTGAGTTTGGTTATCATGTAGGCTCGTGCACAAACAGCGTTTCTCGAGCAGAAAGAGTCCATCCAGGGCCAAACTATGAACATAAATAGACGTAAAAAGCAGGTATATGAAGTTATGAATTTATGTAGATTCACAAAAGGAAACAACGATATTCTCCCTGTGGGCTTTCGTTCATTTTTGGCCTTCATTAAAGGTTAAGGAATATCACTTATGAGTGAAATTGGACAAAATCTGGTTTTTACAGTTTTTTTTAAGATTAAAGGAATCTTCCACGAAAGACTGCTTATCCTTTCCTTGTGTACAGGTGTTGGGCATGGTCATTGAATATCATATGCAAAGTTCAGAGCGAAAATGATGAAACCAACAAGAGAAACAGCCCTTTGAAAGACCCATCTGCGGGACGGTATTGGACCAGTAGGCGGGACCGGAAGTGCTTCTGTGACGAAGTGCGTGGCAGGTGCGGATTCACGCGTCAGTTTAAGGGAAGGGCCCAACATGAATCCACGTTCACGATCACACTTTTGACAGGTTTGCACGTGTTGACTTCACGCCGCTAACAGTTGTGGAAAGTTTGCAGCGGTAGTTCAAAATTTTCAGAGTCGAACCGGTTATCATAATTATTATCAAGACCATCACCTATGTTCCGTTCTTTGTGCTATCTTCGTGAAGCAAGGGCCTAAGGTATCGTTTTTTTTTGTAGGAATGTAGGCGATATTTTTCCGTGGAAGATTCCTTTAAACAGCTCTGTAACTTTTTCACGATGGATCTGAAAAGCATTTCTGTGTGTCGCTTTGCAGATCAGTCGCAGTTTTGTAACGTCCAACCTCATTTCGGTCCCTTCCGTCGCCACTGCTCACCTTATTCTGAGCGAAGTCGTATTCAAGGCGTAGCCGTATCTCGCCATACTCGCATATGTCGACAGCTGCGCCTCCGTTGGCTTCCGGTTGAACATTGAGCGTTTTTGACGTGAATGGCGGCACGTCGTTGATGCCAACGGTCTTATGAGCAGCAGCTTGGTACTGAAATTGAACACTTTTTCCATGAAAGAAAAATAAATGAAAGGGTTGAAAGGGATGATGACAAAGATTACGTACTACTGGAATGACGCCAAAATTTTTCGTCTCTAGAAGACACCGTCCATTCACAAAAAAAACCCCGAAGCTATACTTTTTTGATTGAAAATTCGAGGACCTAAATGTCATTTTGTTTTTTTTTTCTTATAATAAACACCTGCACGTAAACAGTAATTCTCTTCATGCTTCGCTAAACACATTTCTGACCTTCTTCTAGGCTACGATCATACTGACCGACAGATGACAGCCTTTACAGTTAGGGCCAGGTGTCGAGTGAATATGACTGAATGCCCATCACAAGGACTAACAAGGATAATGATAAAGCGACCCCAAGTCACATTTCCATCTCCGATTTATCTTTCTATCTCCCTATCCTACCTAAAGCGATACTTTGTTTCTCCGAAAAATTTCTAGCTGGGGAGGAGGGGATGGGAATCGATCCAGAAAAATGGGACAATTCAAAACTTGTGTAGGGTCTTAGAAATTCCGAGGAATTTCTCAAAAAATCTATATATTTTTGCAGGGAATACCTATACCATATCCCCTACCTTCTTATCTGAAGTATGTACCGTGTCATCTCCACCTAATGAGACCGCCTCCAGGAAATCAAATTTGACTTCCGAAAAATCAGCAATGTTGGTTCATCCTAGATGTAACTTTTACGCCTATATTTCATCTTTCATTTCACTGTGCTCGTACAGGAGACGAGGGACGATGAAGATTCTTCTCTCATCGTTCTCCGTTTCCTGATTCGCACGTCATGTATTGTATTTAACACTGTTGTCCTCGTCATCACTGCCGCTCGCCTACTATGCCAATATCCTTCACCGTGCAAAATTTGCTTCATTTCTATTCCTTTTTCGTCTCGAATAACTGATATGATGTGGGTTCTGTGGGTCGGCTACAGAATTTTCGGCCTCCATCGCTTCTGTTATTTAATAGGTTGACTATTCTATCAGGAGATTGCTTTATCTGTAATGAAGACCTATTTGTCGTAGGCAACATCGTTGTCGATATGGTGATAAAGAAGTCTACTCAGAGAGTGACTGCTTACACTCTTCCCGTCTGCTTCTTCTTCTCGCAACTTTTTCTTTGATTTCATGGCCAAATCCCATGTACATTATTAATAAAATATTCAAAACAAATATACAGAACTATGCTGTTATGCTGAATGAGCGCATAGCTACCTAGAATAGAAGGTATGTTCGCGATAGATCTATGAGTTTAATCTCAAAGAAAAGCTGCTTTTCTTGTTGACCAATCACTTCTCAAACGACTCCCTGAAGACCTCAAAGAATCCCAACAATGGGTTCCGCAGCTTCCTAATCTTCTTTATGCAATTTCCACAGATACAAGATATGTGAATGAAATATGACGAGAAGACTCTTTTAAGGGGTGCTGAAATAAAATTGAGGAAAATCGCATCAGAAAGGAACACTAACGAGTCAGAATCACGCTAATTTCCGCTATTCACCTTTGTTTTTTCAAGCTGCAGCAGCAGCAACGGCGGCAAAATTCTCAGCAGCACTATCAGCGAAAGAAAACGTTCTCAGAAGAGTCATCAATCAATATGTAAACCTTACTTAGGTTGAGAAGAGAGGAAGCAGAAATTTATTGGGTTCCAGCCCAATGCGCCCTCATTGAAAAACAACCTCCTGACCAATTTTATGTCATAGCTTTCGCGACAACCGGCTACGTCAATTGGAAGAGTGTGCCTGAGATAACATCCCCACTTCTACTCTAAGCCAGTGTGTCATTTAGTACAATCATAAACATGAGTCATTTGTAACAAAAAATGGTTACGTGGTGAAAAAACAGAGAAATAGTGTGCAATCTGCATCTCACTCTCTGCAAAACATTGTTATTTGGTTACTGTGAGTATCAAAACAATGTGCAGGTTGGCATTGGTGTTACTAATGTGAGTCATCCTTAGTCCCCCTTTACCTTCCTTACCGACATCAAATTCAAATAACTCCTATTTCCAAAGTACGCCCACTATCGACTAAAAGGTGAAGTAATGGAAATACGTGGAAAGACAGAGTACCGCCGCTCTACCTTTCTTACTTACCAGTGATCGTTCCAGTTTTTACATAAGTATGGCATAAAGCCATCAGCGACATCGCCCCTGCGCGAGCACTTTCAAGGACTGGTTACGAAAATGCAGTGCCCGCACGGGGGTGGTGGTCAAAAACGGGTGACTGTTTCGGAGAGACCGGGTTTGGAGGTGTGGTAACCTCATCCTGCACGTTATTTTGAACAGTTAAAATGCTCAGAAGGAATAGATATTCTTCTGAGGCCTCTGGGACGGTGACCTCCCACAGGTGACACAATTCCACTAAGAAGCAAAAGTTTGCGCCGCAACCATTTGGCGAGTTTTTTACAGAGTGCTTATAAATAAGGCGTGAGGTTTCTCTTATCATATCATGAACATAACATCATTTTTCGGCATCGTTTTGACGCCGAAGCCATGTGCAGTCGATTCGGCTTAGTGATTTGGCTCGAAACAGAAACCGTTCTAGGCAATGATCACCCTCAGAGAGTGTCAACCGTAACAATTCCAACTCATCATCAGACTTCCTACGTTCCCTCATCCTCCTTCATCTCCTCTACTCCAGCACTATCTACGTTGCCAACGTCCCCGCTATTTCCATAGCATTTTCCATTTCTTGTAAGCAGTTGAAGGTCTACACTACATTTAAGGGGGGAGTATGTGGTGCGGTTTTGTCCGTCCGTCTACAGTAATTTCAATTTTCGCAGGAGAGGAAACCTACGAGGTGCGTAAAAAGTTTGCTTTCGCTTCTACTCCCTTCTTGGGCTTGTTCCGCTACAAAAATTGGAATTACTACAGCCGACATGATCTGTTGCACCGCATGCCCTCTCAACTCGCTGGAACAGACCCGCAAGATAGTGTTTGTGAGTATTACACGCAGAATTCTCTGGAGAGTTTGTACTAAGGTCAGGAGTAATCAAAAAAGATTGAGAAAACGGGTGGAAAGCAATATGGAAAGTTGAATTTCTTAAGATTCTGAAAGCACCCTAGTTTCTCTGAAGTTCTCTTTTCCAGAGCCTCTCTACAGAATCTGACTACAAGCCTTTCTCCATTACAAATTATACGAGAAAAAGAGTCCATTCCTTTAAATCAAAAGGAATGAAGAACCTATGAGGGTACCTAAAAGGAAATGTGGAATCAATAATTTTGCCGGTATATTATTTGTTTATTTTTGTGGGGTGTTTTGCTGCGTGAAACTGACATGTTTTTGGGCGTCGAGGTAGAATTTCTGTTATTTCCCGTCGTCATTTGAGCAGAGCGATGATTAGGGAGGGAGGATTCCCTTCACTACTCAACGAAAGAGCTTCAGGATTATCACCACGGTGACCAGGGCTGGCCCGAAGAGGCAATGATCTTCTCGCGTGTTAATCAAGTTAAAACCATAATAAGAACAACGATTATGAGCGACTGAGTGAGCGAGAACGAAGGTCGATTACGAGATGAACGTCGCCCAAAAGCAAGACCAATTGAACTCACACGACTCGCCGAACTGGTCCCACTTCGGCGAATTGGACAACAAGTGGTGAGAATACGATAGAATGGCGAGCAGACCACACCGCCAGTCGCCCACATTTCTCGGCTGCCTTGCTGCGCTTAGTTATCAGGTGCTGACTGGCGCTTACTTTACGGAATCATCTAACGACTCCGTCATGAAACGCGTTATCTAAAAGCTGACTCATAATCATTGAAGATGCGGAAATGGTACGGAAAATCTGGCGCAGGTGGGAGCAAAAAACACTTTGGGTCCGTCGGGAGCTTGAAGAGGCCGGCAGCCTGAAGCACGGCGCTGATACTGGCCGATCTACCCCTCTGATGAAGCGGCAGCCCCTCGGTCTTCATCGTGGGCGTGGCCTGTGCGCTGCGGTCCTATCACGAACCCATGCCGCGAACACCGTAATTGCACAGCTCTCCGAAGCGGCGAATTCCTCATTCTCAGTTGGAGTTCTCTTGTTTTGTGGCTTTATCTTGATGTTCATTTTTTAAGAGTTTATCAGTTTTGCCTTAATGTGTAGATTTTATGCAGTTTTGGCGGGTCCCTCAGCAATTAAGCCCTTTTTTCGAGTTGTTCCGTACTTGATTTTAGGCCCTAGGTATATGTACCTACCTGCTATTATTTTTTGCTATTGTTGAGAGTTTTAAGTTTTGCTTTTGACTGCTACCTATGTATTTGTGAAGCGGTATTCTGACGCGAAGGCTCCTTCCGGTTAACGGGGAATGGAAACATTAAAACTGAACTTGTTGCCTTTTTCCACGTTATTTCCTTCGAACGCTTAAAATTCCGAGGGAGTGCGGGATATGCGAGTTAATCTATGGTCTTGAAGAAAATGAAATCTTTTCAGTTGATCCCGTCACTTTCCTTTGTGATCCTTTACATAACTATTTCAGGGAAACTCACAATGGGCTTCGCCAACTTATGGTTCTCGCATCCCCGCAAGTTCGGTCCAGGATCCCGTTCCTGGTGAGTTCTCATAGTAATCTATGGGTATATGACATGTATTGTACTTATTTTGCTGATTTGCCCTTTTCTATTACCAACCACCGGTGCAGTGCCCCCAGGTGAAGGGAATGCAGTCTGTAGAAAACTGAAACTGGGCGTTCCGTAGATCAATGTCACAAGTACGGCTGTCCACCCTCTGAAGCACAAGCAAGCCCTAACCAGGAAAGTCCTTCAGGACATGGAGCCCTTTTTGAAAACGGTTTTTTGCATGATAAAGGGGCACAGGCATGGAGTACAAAACTAGACTCCATTTTTTCTTGAGCGGCCCTCTGAATGCCAAAAAAAAGTGAAAAAAAAAGTTTTTCAAGAAACCGGAGTTTTCACACATTCAACGTGGTTGATATCACTCGCAATGTTAAGCGGACGTACAATAGAAGGTTTCCTTTACCTGAACATTGAAAGCAACGTGGAATAAAGCCAAAACTGGAAATTGTATATAATGAGTGCTCAAAAGTACAGAAGTTTCATAAAAATCGTCGACATTCGACGTACAGCGTGGTCGGATGGTGGAGTGGATAGCGAGATGGACACTGGTTGGCGTGGTTTCTTTGAAGTTGTTGGTTCGGTTTCCCTACAAGGTCGACTTTTTGCATTTTTCCGATTATTAATTTTTTGCATTCGCATGTGCTTGCGCCTGAAGTTAAGTCCTATAGGTGTCATTTACAAGAATTTTCACCCACAATTCTGCGATATTTCGGATTACCATGTTTTGTCAGTTGTGTACAAAATTCCGTTTACAAGCAATAAATAACTAGCGGTTATGGTAAAACTCAGCGAAGCACCTGAATCACAGACGCGGATCACACCAACTGCATCTAACGAACGCCAGGAAAGTGCAGTTGTCATTTTCTTCGGCAAGAATACCTACTCCATTTCCCTTGAAGGCAGAGCGGCGCTGAGGAATGTCGATGCTCTTCGACCTAGCCAGTGCCCACCCAGGCATACGCCATGTATCGACGAGATCAAGGGGTGATGCCACAGGTTGCCCCATGGGCAGGACCTGCGGTGGAAGTGTAAGCAACCAAACGTGCCGCTTGCTATCATCTCGAAACTGTTTCCAAGTGGAAAGCGTGCATGCCATACTGACTAGGGCTCACCCATCGCCCAATTTTTCAATTCGGGCCGAAATCTTGATTTCTTTGAAACTGGGGCTATAATGGGTAATTATAAGCGCTGATTACGAATCTGACGTCCATTTTTGGTGGAGGCGCGATATTGCGCCAAAATTTTTTTTGCAAAATTTTGTCATCAGCCGGGACCGGTCTCTCGTTCAGAAAAAAAAATGGAGGCTAGTTCTGTACTCCATACATGTACCCCTTTAATACAGAAAGCCGCTTTCAAAGAGCGCTCCATGTCCTAAAAGACTTTCCTGGTAAGACTGAGCTCTCTAGGGGGGAGAGACTCTTAGATGGTTGAACCAACTAAAGTGGGGCGAAAGTTCGAATGTGTGAGACTCCAATGGTCCTGGGCCGCTGATAAGGCGAGAGGGCGCAGACGAGTCCATCGAGGTGAGGCGGCCTGAAGGACTGAACTCGAATATAAGTCGGCCATAACCACTTTTTTCATTCATGAAGGAGAGAAGTTCTCGTTCCTTTAATTGACTAGAGCTGCTTCTCAGACTTTTGTTTCCGGATTACCGATGGTTGATGCCTTCTCACTCATCTTTTGAATGCTCGCTGTTTTCTAGGATATTATTCTCTATAAAGCGTTTTGAAATATTAAGAAAAATGCGCTACAGCTCTCTGCGGACTTCTCGCAAGGTTGACTTATTGCGTTAGAGTAGTTGCCAGGCACTAATTAAGTATTAAAAAACCTCGTTGAACCTATTGTGGTTATTCAGGGCTCCAAGTAAGCATATATTTCGATGCAGTTCGTTGTGAGTACTTATAAAACAATGTCTTTGTCCGAACTTGCCCTACTTAGGAGCCTTGTGGTGGGTTCACGGACTACTTGATTGTTCCTTAATGGTCCTGCCGCGATGGCTAGAACGCAGTCGATTAGAGAATGGGTGAATGCTCTAGGACTAGGCTTGGAGAGGAAAAGGACCCGGTAGAGAGCGCAGGGGCGGTTTAAGGGCTAAGTCCAAGTAGTCCGCCAACCACGGCATCGAGAAATCGATCAATACGATTCCTTCGAAAATATATGCTATTGGGTTGTTCAATAAGCCGTGCCGCTCTCCTTTCGAATCTGAACTCAGTGATTAGCCACTACCCCTCTAAAATAGATCCGAAGTACGAAATTTTCTACCGCTGAGACGTTAAATAACTGATGGAATGTTTAGAAGAGTCGTAACTAAGTCTGAAAAGCATGAATGAGTGTTCGTAATCTTTCTAGGGGAAAATTTCTTTGAACTGATTTGGTCACTCTCATGGATTGAACGCGTAATGATGTAAGTCTAAAATCTGGACTAATTCATAATGAAAATAAGATCCTAAGATGTGGGCAGGAAACAAGCTTGCGGAACATGCATCATCTTAAATAAAAATGGGGTTCCAGAGAAAAAGTTTCAATTCGTAAAACCGAAGTGTATTGCGACTTAAGCCGGATCGGGAACGAAACACTGCTAGGCTTTCTGGATAACTTAAAATTGGAATGTTTGTAGAAGTCAGTAGCTGAGTACAGGGTATATCATTGATCGATTTCTATAAAGGAAAACAGATTAATCGGTCGCCGGTTGGCTCATTTTCGTCGACTGGACTTCTTATTTTGCTATCTTGAAATTCTACAATTTTATAATTAATGTAGAAAGTAAACAAAAGACTTTGTATTGCCGACAATTCTCTTTCGAAAAACATACAAGACTATGTAATGCATAGAATTTCAACGAAAAAGCGTTCATCTGAAGAATAATGATTTCAACCTACTTACTTATTGGACAACCTAATATTATCTGACCCTCACGTATTATGCTTGTGCTAGCATTGACAGCTATGAACGTTACCTTCCGTTTTTAGTCGTCTGCGCTTTTCATCTTCATTCTTAAATTCTGAGTTTCCCAGTTCTTCGAAGTAAGTTATGTCTTGTTTTGCTCTTAATATGCTGCTAGATCAGCAGATTTTCGAAGTATCACCTAGTGCATTAGTGGTATTTTTGATCTCTTCCATTTCTTTCACCGCTTACTCTTTGTAGAATTTGTTTGTCGATTCGGTATCCGCGATACAACTATTGCTCTAGCTTATCCACACCTGAACAAAAATATTTGTTTTGCCGTTTCATACAAATTGGTCGTGTGAAGCTTTCGCATCGTAATCATGAAAAACCGACAACCATGTGTGGGAAAATTAATTCCGTTGTGGTCAGTACGAGAGTTTTTATCATGACGTTGTATGCATTGGCGTTGCTACAGCTTTTTGCTATTAGGGATCGTAGCACAACTGTTTGGTTACTGGACGTAAATGATCACACAATTTGTAAACCACTGTCATCCTTTCTTTGATACTAGAGATGAAGGTATGCGAGATTGGGGAGGGTGAGGAAGTGTTGCCGTATCTTAGGGAGGCAAGGAAATGAACCAAGTCGGAATACAGTTCTTCCTGCGGGCCGCGTCCATAGCTAGTCAACTCGGATAATAAGATAGCAGGCGACATTGAAGAAAATATATATTGATTGGGAGATCAAGGTAATATTGGTGTGGGACATTCCGCTGGAAAGATTAAATGAGCATCGATTAGAATTTCGCGGGGGAGTATTAGATTGAGATAAGTATATTAGTAGATTAGGTGAGTGCACTGGAATCATTACATACGTATTGATGGAATCGCATGAAGACGCACGTATGGGCCGTATGCTATCCTTCCCCGAAGCTACGTGATCCTAAGTTTCCCTTAAACTTATTTTGAACGATAAAGTTTCTTCATTTTCAGTGCATGTTCACTTTAACCTACCTACATACATTAAATGTAGGCTCTTCATCGGGACAATCCCAGTTGGGAAGACGGAGAAGTTTTAAGGGGTTTTCGTTCCCTAGCCTAGGCTTATTGGCACTTTCAAACACATTGTATGAACCTAACCATTTTCTATTTCTGGTGGTTTCCAGTTGGCTAGCGACTGCAGTGTGACGTGCTTATCTTTAATTGTCGCCAATTATATTGGCTAAATCACAGTTTAATTTGGATGTGATAAGAAGTAGGGTGTGGGAAACGGTAGAAAAACCTACCGCAAATGGACGCCCAACCTCCAATAAAGCGAAAAGGGGGGTGTCACCGCGAAAAGTTTCACATCGCAATCTGGACAACCATAACTAGCGTACACCACATTATAAGAGAAGGCCAGCCTCCGCCGTCCCTTGCTTTACCTTTACCTTTACATTTTGAAAGGACATTTCATACCAGCGGTGGTATCCGTTTGAGCCGAAGTCTTAGGGCTTCGTGACAGCCGTGGGTGTTATGTAGCTGTGGCGAGTCGTTCCCAAATACGTAATAGTAACGCACTTTCGTAATCAACTATTTATCAGCATACTATTTACAAAATGACGATTGGCAATGAGTCAACCTATAAAACAGGTAAATAGGTTCTACCACCGTAGGTTTCATTCAACGAAGCATGAGAAAGGGGACCTGTCCGCAATTTACCTGCCATCCTATCTTCAGAAGAAGCAAATTTGTTTATCAGTGCGTCATCGTGAAAGTGGAGAAGTATTTGTAGGACCGATTTTTTGCTTTTCCACTCGAGCTCTTCATGTCACATTTTTGCGTTTATATTAACTCCGCAGTCTTTTTTCATTCATTTGAGTTCTCTCTTCCATGGTTTGGTATAATCAACACGGTGAGTAGTTAGTCGCTAGTAGGGCTCTACGACTTGATCATCTTGACGACCTTTTCCCCCATTCACTATTCTTCACATCGTATCAAAGTGTTCCTGTGTGGTTCTTATAGATCATTTTACACTTAACTTGACAAATCAAAAGCAAAAAATTTCCTTTCATTTAGCCGTGTGTGCTCCAATCATCATGGTCTGATTCGAAAGTACGGACTAGATATGTGCCGTAGGTGCTTCCGAGAATATGCAAAGGATATTGGATTCAAGAAGGTGATTTTCGCTTTCTCAGTCGCCTAATTTTCCAAGCAGGATCCCATTTCCAGCAACCTATATGTTTGTGTTTGGAAAGTTAATCCTGCAATATCAGAGGATCTCGTCGAAAACGCGTTTACTCATGAAGTTCTTGCGTAGTGGAGAGATCCACACATTTGATTTGTATTACAAACTCATTTTTTTTATTTATTCTCACATTACTTTGTATTTTTCAGCTGGATTAACTGACGGGCGCGATGTTTCGGCACCTTTTTCCTGTTGTTTTTTGTGTTAATGGTGACTACGAATAAAATTGTTACATAGATGTATAGCTTGAACATCAGTTGCTCTGTTTCATACATAAGTTGATGTAAAGCTACAACCTTTTCAATAAATGGAACATCAGAGAATGTGTTGTTCATTTTTGGGTAATGGATCCGGTGGAGGCCGGTGATTGGCTGGGTGGCAGACCACAACAATTGATATTTCTTACGGGACTTGATCCAAACAATAAGGAATCGCATTCGGCTCTTGTAAGCACGTTTGGGTAAGTGGCCAACGATACGAACCTTCTACGTCGGTCAAATTCTTGGTGCTTGAGACTATTTTGCTGACTAGCTCACGTGTTCTATGCTTTACAAAGAGTATGAACATGAAGGGCGTACGAATAAGCTTTGTGGCGAAGGGTGGGAGGGGACCAAGAACGAGGGTACGGATGTCCGTAGTGGTCGGACTAACTCGTAAATTCTAGGTTGTAAGGAAAGTTACGGCCGTTTTCAATAGTTCAAGTTCATGGCATTATGGTTAAGTTCTCGGCAAACTGCTACAAGTTGCATATCTTCAGAAAGCGCGTCCTTCGCTCTATCCACATGCGCAATAGGCCTTGGCCTAGAGGGACCACTTCTACTTATTTATAGCCTTGAATGCAACATGCTCATCAAGCGAATCCTGACATTTTTTCTTCTACCTCGAATTAGGGCAGAAAAGAAATCAGCTCACGATAAACTATTCGTTTGACGGCGATTCTGGAGAGGGTCTTTTTTCGGGGCATGGTATATTTTTCAATTTTTGAGAAGGTTTTCTAGTTGAGAAATTCCCTCTGTGGGCAATGTTGCCTCTCATTTACTGCAGAACTGCTGAGTAATATTCTAAGGGACGACGGTTTCGGAGAGGGTCTTTCTTTCGAGAAAGGGTTTAGGAAGGTGGTAAGCCTGAAAAATTGTGTCTGTGACCAATGTTCTCTCACTGTTACTACAGAGCTCCTGAGTGAGAATCTTAGGGACGATGGTTCCGGAGAGGGTTTTTTTTGGGGCAGGGTATACTTTTCACTTCTGAGAAGGGCAATGATCTCCCTCAATTACTGCAGAGCTGCTGAGTAAGATTCCAACGAAAGGCCGTTTCGGAGAGGGTCTTTCTTCCAAGACAGGATTTTTTCGGTAGGTGGTAAGGCTGAAAAATTGTGTCTGTAAGCAATGTTCTCTCTCTATTATTGCAGAGCTGCAGAGTGAAATTCCAAGGTACGGCTGCTTTGGAGACACTCCTCTTTCGAAATCCATGGGTGACCCCGCACACTTCTGCGCATGTCCTGCCCACTGAGGCTTCATTTCCTTCGCTGACCTCTATACTTTTTTCCTGGTGTCCAAGACTTCTTGGAACCAAGTAATAATGTTTCGTGCATAACTCTGCCCACTTTTGTGCAAGCTTAGCCCACCATTAGCATTCAACCCCTCTCGGCAACCCCTATCCACATTTCTCCCGGGCGCGGGGGCTTCTAGGAACCGAGTTATGAGAGCGGTGGCAAACTCCGCCCACTTCTGGGTGTGCCACGCCCAGCGTTCACATTCAACCTCTACTCCTCCTCTCACTACAATACACATTTTTCAGGTCTCTAAGTTGTCTCGGAGCAGAATTATGACGTCTTGTAAGGGACGAAATCGAGCTACCTACTTTATGGCAAACCCCGCCCACTTTGGTGCGTGGGTCGCTCACTGATATCAGTTGACTATCATCTCTTCCCCAACTTTTTTCTATTTTTTCTCCATCTCCGGAACTTATTGGAACCGAGTTATGAAGTACCGTGGCAAATACCGCCCACTATGGTGCATGCCCCACACGCCAACAACGGTTGACCCCTTTCCCTCTGCCAACCCTTATACGCTTTTTCCCGGACTCCGGGACTCCTAGGAACCGAGTTATAAGCCTGATTGCAAACTCCGCCCACTTTGACGTAAGCCACGTCCATCCCTGACATTTAGCTTCCCTCCCCTCCTGACCTCTATCCGCTCTTTTCCGGTCTCTAAGTCATCTCGGAGCCGATTTATGAGCTCTTGTAGAAAACGCTGTCCGCTTCACGATACGCTCCGCCCATTGTGGGCAGGCCTGCGTTCATATCATGCGTGCTGGAAATACCTTAGGCATTGCACCCCTGCACTAATTCCGTTTCTGGTCTGTAGGCTTCTTCTTAACCGAGTTATGAATATTGTCACTAAGCACCGCTTTTTTAGAGAGCGCCCGCCCACCGAGGGTGGGTTTCCTCAATTCAATCTGGCTTACCAACGCAGAGGCTGTTTTGTGACTGAATTTGAGATCATGGTTCTCAGTACCACTCATTTCGACGCACGCCACGCCCACTATGGGCGGGGCTCCGCTTAGGTGATGTGTTTTCAGCTCTCAGTACACCCATCGACCCAGTAGGTTGTTGTCGCTTAATGCGGAATTTCGTGACAGACAAACAGACAGACTTAGCGCATTGTATATAGTAGGGATAGGGATTGTGCCTTTCACATAATTTAATGCTCATCATTGATGTATGGGCAGTCACCAACATGTAGAAGTGGTGGAGCGTGGTCAATCCGCGCGCTCTGTCTCGCTCAGAGGTTGGAATAGAGGAAACATGAAGTTTTATTCATTCAGTAGAGGAAATTTACAAATTTCTGCGTAAACCTAGGCACAGTAGTAGGTGCTGAATGGGTTGGGGGGACCACGCGGCGACGCGGCGCTTCGCTCGCCTGATAAGTTTATGAAGTTTTTAATGGTCGAAAACTCGCGTATGGCACAAAAAACCGCGAACAACGGACGATTTGTAGAAATGAACATTCGTAACATTCAAATACTTCGAGGAAAGATAAAAATTGAATTTTTCAAAATTTTCATGTCCGGTGCCAGGAGCAGCGGTCAACCCTGCCGTTGCGCAAAGAAACACGAGGGGGTTCGTATCAGCCGACCGAAAAGGGAGGGGTCGAATCCACAAACCGGCTGCAAAGACGGCTTGAAAAGTGCCAGTGTCCGGGAGTGCACTTTCAGCTCTAAATGTTCTTGGGGCTATGCACGCTGTCGGAGAGTCACACAGACATGAGCTCCATGGGAGCATTAAAGCATGCACCAGAGCACTATAAGTCTCACCGTCAGCTTATTATCTTAGCGACGCATATCGGACGCCGCTTTGCTCGCGGCAAAGATCAATGAGTACAATAGACAATAAGCACAAAGCTTTGTGTACAGTGTAGTGCAAAAACATGGCTGTCTTCGATTTTGAAACATTCCGGGGAGATCCCGAGGAGGAACAAAGGTAAGAGCAGTTCAGGGGCAAAGTGAAACAAGGGAGTGCCGAGCGATTTAGGAGCAGCCAGGAGCTAATATTCTGCAAATCTTCAAACTCAGGCTGGATGTTAACACGTACATCTGTTCTGTCATGACCCAGAACAGCACAGACTTTGCTCAAATTATGCCCCCAAGTGATCTTGAGGTGTGTTTAACGGAACTCTGCCACAGATAGGTAAATGGGCTGCAGCGCGGCCGGTGGATATCTGGAGGGTAACTTCGTTCCTTCGCGCCGCTAATGAAAACGTTGGACGCACTTGCGTGGTGTCTTGCGGTCCGCTTGTGAAGCAGAAAACTTCTCTGATGCAAGATGTGTGGTTTGTTTTCATGGTGAACCTGTTAGCTGGTCTAACCCATATATATTCAGGTTGTCGCGTGAAAAAGCGAAGGGTGACGCGCTGAATTTGCTGAATGTTTTGAGTGTCTCACGAGAATCGCGCTCTCGTGCCCGATGGAGCCTCGGGAGGGACTTCGTAGGAAAATTGCAGGCCAGAGAAAGCGAAGTTCAGGGAATATTAGTCCACTGACTGGCTGTTATTAAGTCCAGTAACTGCTTCGCATAGGGTGGGGATCCAACATCTTCACCGCTCTCTCACATTAATTTCAAAGGAAGTTATGGGCTTTAAAGACTGCATTAGTCGCGGTCCAGGAAAAAGGCTGAAAAAAAAATCAAGGTGGAATTGACGGAACAACGGGACTATTTTTTGAGCGAGTGATTATTTTAAGAAGTGTTTAGCACTTATTCGAAAGCTCTAATCCTCTAGTTCTAATTAGCCTATAGACATCGCAAAATGTTAAGTATGAAGAAAGTTACTAACGTTTGAATATCGAAAACTCGCGCCTTCCCAAAAATCGCGACCCTAACCCACCCAAGAACGGAACAACGGGACTATTTTTTGAAAAAAGTGATCGCTGAAAATTTTAAGGTGCTTGTTTCGAAAGCTAATCTTCTAGTTTCTAATTAGCCTTAGACATCTGCAAAATGTTAAGTATGAAGAAAGTTACTAACGTTTGAATGTCGAAAACTCGCGCGTGCACAGGAAACGGAACAAGCGCACGACTTTTCGAAATACTGAACATCCACAAAACATTTCAAATACTCCTCAGGAAGAAAACTATTATATTTTCAAAATTTCGTGTCCGATTCATGAACAGCTTGTGAAAGAAAATGTGACTTCTGAATGAAGGGGTTTGGATTGCAATGTAACTTGCTTCAAGGTTTAGTTTTCGGATGATAAGGAAGAAGTGATGAGAGATCCGAAAAATCCTGGTGGTGTATGAAAGTAGGAAATCTTTACAATTAAAATGATTATTGTTTACCGGAAAATTTGAAAATTCCTTCTATTAATGAATAAAAACTTCATTTGCTCGATTTCCTCCTCTGAGGCGAGACAGAGCGCGCGGGATTGACCACGGTCCACCACTTCTCCATGTTGGTGACTGCCATCCATTGATGAGCATTGAGGAGCATTAAATTATGTGGAAAGACATGACAGTGTAAATTATGGGGGGGGTCGACCGATACCCCCGGAAAGGAAGGCGGTCCGTTAAAATTGGGAATTTGCCGCAACGCAGGTTTTGACGCGCCCTGCAGACCTGGTGTAGAAAGTGTATTATAAACCTTCTGATATGAAGGGGTATTGTATTGCACTCGTAATTGCCTACAAATATTTTTTTCAGCAATAAAATAAGAAATTGAGAAAATCCGATGAAACTGCTTAAGGGGTTTTTGAAAGTAGAATCTCGCGATACTACTGGGCTGCTAAGCTGGGTTGGGAACCTTTTTTTGCACGG